AAACCGTCAATTTGATGCGTGTATCGAGGTGCCGGTTTGCGAGTATTGGGTGCAGCTTCCCTGCTCGTGCTTTGCCCTTTTCCGCTACCTTGGACATGTGTGCATTCCACGAGCAGTCTTTTGCGATCTCTACTCCGAGGTATGTGTACTGGTCCACTACTGCAATCTCCTCGATCTCCCACTTCCATCTATGTTCTACTGGTTCCTCCTTGTTCTCGTTGCATACCATGACGGCACTCTTCTTAACGTCGGCAGACAATCTCCACTTATCAGTAAACTTCTTCGCCGCGTCAATTTGCAGTTGCAGTCCCTCAGGGGTGTCCGACATACCGACAAAATCAAACAGCATTCCTGAAACCGACGTTTCCGTGTCCCCTACTTTTACTCCCTTTCGGACTGCCTCTACGACTTCCAACAGATCGTTGATGAACACCTGGAACAATGTTGGGGACAGCGTGCAACCTTGTGGGACCCCCTGCTCAATGTCGAAGAATTCAGACAGTTCTCCGTCTAGCATGACCGCGCTTGTCGTACACTCTGTCATCTTCTTCAGCACTCTCCACATTTTCCCCTTTATCCCGTATTTGGACAGTTGTTTCCACAACCCATTTCTCCATACGGTATCGGATGCCTTTTTGTATAAAACAAAGAAAATAAAAAATGGACACCAGAAAATTCCTCCAAGGCGCGATTCGTTACACAACCGAAAATAGCGTACATCAGTACAGTTTGTCGATACGGTGTACTGTACACGACACGAGTGCACACGACACAGCAGCAGGACTACTACAGTGAGAAAGTACTGCTGTACGTGGTACTGTAGATGGCCCGATATAGTGGCAACTTGAACATTCGAACTGCCGATTTGGTGGCATCAAAATCTCTTGTCACAATCTCAACATGTCCATGAACCCCACTTATATAAATCGAATAGTAGAACTGCCGTGAATAGCGGCATATCTCCACTTGCTCCTACATTGCATGCCACTTTATCGGGTCACCTGTATACAATGGATTGGACGAAAAACACACACACAAAGTAGACGTCACACTTCGATTGCCAGGCCACTCAATTTGGGCTGTTGTTGTTGTTGTTGTTGTTGTTGCACAAATTTTACGACAGCGGGCAAGTACACAGAAGATTGTGATGTCGATCTTTTTTTTTTTCTCATGATCGCAACCGCTGCTCTTGTTTGTCAACAACCACCGTCCTTGGACTACAAACACTGCAGCTCCTTGTCTGTACTTTGCGTAGCACCCGCTGCAAATAATAAGGTCTTCCGTGGCAGCAATCTGCAGAGTGCTGCCAGCCTGGAAAAGGAAGCAAAACCACAATTTTGTTTGGCAAGTCCGGGTGCGGCATGAGTGAATGAAAGAGTGTCTTGAGGGCGTGGGGTGGGATGTGTGTGCCTGCTGGATTTGCATCCATGTACCGCAGTGTTATCTACCTTTCAGCAACGTTTCCCTCTCTGATTTTTCCCGTCACGACTGGTCTGTATTCGTCTACAAGGACGGTACGTGCGGTTTTGTTTGCTGCTTGCTTGGTTGGGCGGATGCTGCTGTTTCGAAAACGTGTTCACTACGTTCCGTTGCCATGTGACACATAAGTCAGTGGAGCTCACGACGGCAACCGCGATACGCCAGCACTGCGACAACTGCAACTCCTTGCCGGAATTCCCCGGATTTTCCGCCAAACCGCTGTGCGACGGACCCGATCTGTGCGGTGATCCGCGCAGCGTTACGGTTAAACACAATCAGTTGTCATTTTCCGAGCAGCGTCACAACAGTAGTGAAAGCCCCCTCGTATTCTTGCCGTTGATCTGTTGACAAATCACAGCTAGGTAGGTGCCCCTCCCCCCCAACATGGCCTTTGGTGGAGCCTTCTGTCCGTGTGTCACAATCAGCATCACGTCAGCCCCTTCCATGTCGAGAAAGAATGATGCTCTAGCCCTAAGGCGCGAACGAGGGGGGGCGCACTCACGTTTTCTATGCCGTAGCTGCAAGACCATTTAACCACGCGTCCTCGAGAGGACGGAGCCGCGAGGGGGGGGGGGGGGGGGGGG